CCCAATGTAGGGCCTTTAACTAGAACCCTAACAGACTGAAAGGGGAAAACCTAATAGAAAGGCATGAAAGGCTATTAATCAGTTATTCCTGTGGAAGCACTTAAAGACATTTGGGTCACAATGATACAACATAGGCACAACCTAACAAAGAAAAACCTAGAACCCTAGAAGTCATTCACAAAGGCAAAGGTCACTGACCATGCTTGTGATGGAGGCAGCAGGGGCAGGGGAAGAGGAATTCCCTCTGTGCACGGGTGCTGGTGACTTGGTCACTCGCTGTTGCCTGTGAACAAACCAAGAATCAATGTAAGCCCCAAGCTGCTCAAATAAGTCCTAAAACCACAAAATAACTTAAGATCAGCCTAGAACTTTAACATCTCGTTTCACTTACCCAATTCAACTTCCCAAGCATTTACTAAGTGTTTAGATATGCAAAACCACATGTTAAGTTCTGAGGGAAGACAAAAGCTTACTGAAACATGGTCCTGGGCCTTGCAAGAATTCTTGTCTAGTGGGGGAGACACTAACTTAGGACATATCAAGGCATTCAGATATTAGGTAACCAACAAGGTATAATGGAAAAATGAATAGTAGAAGGAATGATAAGCTACTACTATTGAAGGGACTCTGGAAAAGATTCAATGGTAAGGAGCTACATTAAATTGGGTGTGAGCAATAAGAAGCTATAAGATGGAGAAAAATGATTTAAGTAGAAGGAACAGGTACAGGAACTTGAGAAGCCTTGGGAATGTAGAGTTATCCAGGGCTTGTGTATAGTTTATTTGAAGACTATACCACCAGTGAGGTAGGGCAGGGAAGGCTTTCATTTTATGGTCCAGGCTGTGCTTCAGAGGGTATGGAGCAACAATGACTTAGTACAGTGCCTGGCATAAAACATGCTCTGTGAGACACTGGCTCAAATTAAATACAGCACCAAAAATTTCAGCTATTTTAAGACCTAATTACATGCAGCATTCCGCAGCATTCCCCAGCATTCCTGGTCTACAAAAAGGGCTGATCCAAGGCCTCCCAAGAAAAGTTTAAAAGAACAGACTTTCGTTCTCTCCTGAGACATTCTACTTCAACTTGGAAGAAAACAGGAAACAGTTAATAAAGATATAAATAGGCTGAGAGAAGAGTGCATTATGTGAGCTCATTGCCTAATATAAGCTTCCCTGCATTTCAGCCATATCAGACCTTGTACCACAAAAACCAAAGCCCAAGTACAGTCAATGATTCTGAAGTTCTATGAATCATAAGCAAATGGGAATCCTAAACTCACGGCCTCTTTCCAGTCTATACCAGGTAAGCCCCACTACTGCCATACTGAAACTCTGAACATGACAACGAGGGGAGAGACAGATGAATAGTATTGTGAGTCATTAAGACATAAACCCCATATTAGGTGTTCCATATAACTTAAAATTTATTCCTTCTGGTAAACATACTTGAGCACCTACTATATGCTAGATACTGTTCTAGGTGCTGGGGATACAGAAGTAAACAAAAGAGACCAAAAACCCCAACCCCCCCCCCCCAGCCTTATTATATTCTTGTGGTTGCAGAGTAGAGAGGGGTTACGGTGGGCAGGGACACAGACAAAATAATAGAAGCTAGAAGGTGGTAAGTACAATAAATAAAGCAAGGAGAAAGTCATGTCTGTTGTGGGACACAACTGTATATAGAGTATTCAGGAAAGACCTGAGAGGCTGACATTTGATCCAAAACATAAAGGCTCCACTGACACTAACTCGGGTTCACTTACTAGTTTCAAGGGTAAGTTATACTTTAAAAATCTTAAGTTTCTATATCTGTAAAATGCAGTTATTCATCCCAACTATCTCAGGATTGTTGCCAAGAGCAAATAAAATTCTGGATGGCAAGAGTGTGTGAAAGTCAATAAACCATGTCCATGAATATTAAATAACTACATTATATTGTAGAGAGAAATCCAGTGATGGGAGCTCAGCCGACTAGTCCTGAGCTCTCTGTTTAGGCTGAAGGTTAGTAAACATAGAATGCATTTATGCAGGGTATCATAAAACCAGCTGAAACAAGACACAGACAATATGGCAAATTTTAAGAATCACGGCAAAACAAATACTTCTTGCCCTTATCGGTGTAGCCCAGTGGTTAGAGCACTGGCCTGCACACTGAAGAGGCGCAGGTTTGATTCCCTGGCCCTGGTTGGGGTGCCTGCAGGAGGCAACCAATAGATGTGTCTCTTTTACATGGAAGTTTCTCTCTCTCTCCTCCTCCCTCCCCTCCCACTCTCTCTAAAAATCAATGGAAAAAATACCCTCAGGTGAGGATTAACAACAATAAAACATTACCAAGTACTGTATGGGCAGGACTAAACTATCCTTCAAGGCTACACACTGGTCACTTCTGGGAGTATAAAAGGGGTTACTGGGACAGGGCACACAGAGGACTTCTGGGTAGCTATCAAAGGAGTTTGCCTTATACATTTGTTTATTGCAGTTTTTTATTTTACAATAAAAAATAATATTGCCCCCCCCAATTTATGATTCATTTTATTTCATTTTACTACTTGTTGCAACTAGCAGAAAGAACAGGAGCAGAGTGATGTCAGTAATCATTTATTAATGACTTTGATCAACAAACCTACATCATCAAGGTATAGTTTGATAACTCGACAAGGAAGCTACGGGGGAGGAAGCTAGGTAGAGTTTTACTTTTCATCATCTCACAGCATAACTGCAAATAAGAAGCGATGCTAGCTACATTTGTAAAAATGAATTCTTTAAATCAAGAATATAATAAAATTATACAGGATCAAAAACCTAAGCCCATGTGATAGAGTTCAATCATTATTTCCTTTGAGTATCTGGAATGAGATGGAATTCTCACCATATGTTGTACAACATCAGTATTTACAACTAATTTGCTTATCTGAGGAAAATTAATTTGCAAATCCCCACAAGGGTAGAATTAGTAACTTACCTGTTTCTAAATCCATCTCTGGTTCTGTCCACCTGTGGTTTGCCAAAACCAGGCTGATAAAAGTTTGCTGCTTGCACTGCAAGGTCATGTGGCAGGGCCAACCCCTCCAAAGCTGCTGCCTGTTGCAATTCTAGCTGGCTCATCTGCTGAACAGAAGGGACAGAGGATCAGAAGAATGAGGACAGGCAATGAACTTGATACAAAGGTCTCTTTTCACTCTCTTTAAACACCAGCCGAGAGAAATTCGATGGTGCAACCTGACTAAATCATGCTATCCACTGAACAGGATTTTAACTACTTAAATATGACTTATTTTTTGTACATGCCCCTAGTGGGAACCGAACCCGGGTCTCTGGTCTGCAGGCTGACGGTCCAACCTCTGAGCCAAACCAACCAGAGCTAAATATGACTTTTAATTGTTCACCAATTTTCTAGTCTTCACTTGAATTATAGTTGAGCCTGAATTACAGTTCAAAACCACTTTCAAGGATTGTAGCAATCTAATTCTCCACCCCATAAATAAAATAAAGGTGAAAAGCAAGCAATAGATTGCGTTTGAGAAAGAGCTCAGCTGGACCTGGGCCGTGACAGGGCTCATGGGCTTGCGCATGCCTTGGAATGGATCTCCGAGTAGCTGCTGTGGTCCTGGTGTGAAACCTGTTGAAATAGTTAACGGTATCAAGATAGCACATCTATCAGAGAGGCATTATCACCAATACATGCTGTTCCTGAACATCTTTTTCAAGAAGTACTGACTTCTTGGGCTGATGATGTCCCTCACGATGGGCTATGTGGATCTCTGCACTTAATGACCTGAATTGCTGCTGTATCCATCCTTCCCACTAAGCTGTCAGCTTTGTCCCTTTCAGAACTGAGACCTCTTCTATCTGTGAGAGAAGAGCTTTTCTAGCCAGTGATATGGCCCATTATCACCAAGCCAGTTGATACCAAAGCAGAGACCATGCTGTGAGACTCACATGCTTTTCAGTCTATCTCCTTAATTGTGGAGGGAAGATTTAAGAAAAACAAAAACAAAACTTCCACAGTAGCCCTGGCCAGTTTGGCTCAGCGGTTAGAGCGTCGGCCTGCGGTCCGGAGAGACCTGGGTTCAGTTCCCGCTAAGGGCACGTACTTCGGTTGCAGTTTGTCCCCGGCCCTGGTTGGTCGTGCGGGTGGCAGCCACTCGATGTGTCCCTTCACGTCGATGTTTCTCTCTCTCCCTCCCTCCCACTCTATCTGTACAAAAAATGGAAAAATATCCTCGGGTGAGGATAAAAACAAACAAACAAATAAACAAATAAACAAAAAAAAACTTCCACAGTAGATATGATTGGCAGGAGCCAGGGTGGCCAGCAACCTATAGTCCAGGGTGGAAGGAACTCTATGAAATTCTACACAATGCTTTGCTAAGATAGCTTTCTGGAAGTGCTTCCATTTATATTCTGAATTAGCCACAAGACCTCACAGTTGATTGTGTAATGACTTCAATAGGTTAGTAAAGAGCCACTATTCTGACACACTCTGTATCAAGAAAAACCTAGGAAGTCAATTCACTTTTTTGTACTGAATTCCCCAAATAAGGAAAAAGACTAAAGAGCTGGATCCAATTTAAATCAATCTCAATAGAAAAAAACAAAATTAAAACGTACATGTTTATCTAGAGGGACAGTTGAATAATAAACTATGTTCCACATTTGTGTCCCCACCACCCCTGTAAAAATTAGAATAAATAAATCCACACATTTCTTTTTAAAGTCTTCAAGGATGCCCATGAAAAGACTTTGCCAGTTCTAGGGACAAGTATAACTTTTGTCATGGGAGTGTGGAGTGGGGTTGGTGGGGGGGCGAATATGTGTGGAATAATGGGGACAGATGGATGGACATCTACACATGAATATTTACCAATTGGTGATGGTATTCTAGGACGAAGGTAGTCTGCTGAGGCTGCTCGTGTTTGAAACACCTGTGACAAGGGAGGAGATGGTGCTCTTTGGCCCAGTAAAGATGTTGTAGGCTCCAAGCTCCCCATAAGGCCACTCAGAAGGTTGGAAGAAGCAGGTCTCTGAACTGGCGGACCCAAAAGTTCCTGAAGGCAAAAAAGTCAAATCCTTGTGAACAAACCTAGTTCTCCTCCTAGTCAGGTATGGATTACGGATTAACTTTTGGAAGCCAATGATGAATCTTCTTCATGTTCTACTAAAGGACTTGTCATATGTACATGTAACACATTTCTCTGTAAATGTTCAGTTAGCAACACTGTGAGTTAGCGCTATAAATATGGGTTAGATACTTCAATTTTCATAGAAATTGCAAATGTGAAAACTGGAAATCAAGGGCTTACTTTGTCATCTTTCTTTTTAGCTACCTTCCCAAATCTTACACTGAAATAAACAGTGACACAGAACTATGTCAGGCAGTGACATAGCCTCAACTGCCAGGCAACATGGATCATACTCTAAGGCCCAAAGCTGGACCACTACAAAAAACCAGTTCAGAGGACTCCTGTTCAAGACTCCTAGGCCTTGGTCTAATGTGCAGTACCTGCAGGATGTTCTTAGGGACAGGCTGGCCTGGAATCTCAGCAGGGGACATCAAATGGCTTTCAAGGTTTCGCTAAAAAAGTAAAAGGAGAACTGGTTTTAACCTTCTTACACATTTAATTGGGGACCACAAGAGAGCATTAAAAATTCTTCAGGGAATCAACATTTAACAGCAGAATAATGTCAAAGTCACAGAAAACTAACTTAAATCAACCTGCTCCACTGTCTTAACACATAGGTCCCAAAGATCTGGGACCAGAAAAATCTTCACATGTACATGTAGAGCCCACTCAGAGATCCTCAGACCAGGTCTTTTCCTCGCTGTAGTAACCCTAGTCCATTTAACTGTTTCTAACACTGACCACAAGAAGGGAAAAAGAAAATGGTGGAATAGGGGAGTACTTACTTAGTAAGAAGCCACAGGCAGGAAATTTTGATAATTTATAGATTTAAGTTTTTGAGGCAACCTTTGCTATCTTTTATCTTGAACAAGATTTCTAGACCAGGCAATACTAAAAATCTAGTAAACAAGAGGGTTTGGCCAGAATTGGTATATTTCAGAGTTTGATATTTCAGGAAATTTAAACTTTATTATGTATAAGGAAGCTGTTTCAAATGGGTCTCAGATAGAGAAGTTCAAATCCTCCACGTTTTGTTTTTAATGTAGCAGCAGTTACTTTTTTTTTTATCTTCACCCGAGGACACTTTTGCATTTACCTTCAGTTAGAGCGGCAGGGAGAGAGAGAGAAACATCAACGTGAGAGAGACACATCCAGTGGTTGCCACCCACATGACCCCAGCCGGGGCCAGGGACAAACTGCAACCGAGGTACGCGCCCTTAGTGGGAACCGAACCCGGACTCTGGTCCGCGGGCTGATGCTCTAACTGCTGAGCCAAACTGGCCCAGGTGCAGCAGTTACTTTTTGCATCCAACTTGCATTACCTCCTATACTTCAGTACTTCCTTTATGCCTAAGCGCTTTCTCTGGTATAGTTTCCCTTCCACTAGGTGGAGATGCCAAGGTCCACAGCAGTATCCTCAGGCATGACAAATAGCCCAAAGACATCCACGTTTTGCTGCTGGTTTTGAAATTGTGACTGACTACAGATGATTTTAATAAGAGATACCTTCAAGAGTCCCTTAATTCTTTCTAACAAAAAACAAATAGGTAACTTCATACCACATGGTTTACTATACAGAGTCTATAATTCAATTTGAAATGGAGTTTAGCTTGAACCAACATGTTTGGGGGATGAAACAATATGATTAAACCTAAACACATGTAGGTAGATCAGAAATAGTATACATAACAAACACAGCCATAGTAATTAAAACTTGATTTTAGATGTAGATTGCAACTCAACAACGTGCAGATCAAACAATATTTTGGGATAATGCTCGGTGTGCTTATTACATTATTTTTCTTGTTGCTTTCTTTTCTAGGTTATGTTGAGTTTGTGTTACTCTTTGCCTAGCAACTTGAATTATATCATCCATCCCTTTACGTAGGTGTTTGGGGCTCATTCCCTTGGCTGAAATCAAACATATTTCAGAGCACTGAAACACAAACATTGAAATAGTTATTCTCACAAATCAGGGTCCACTGTGTTATCAAACCCTACAATTATCTCCATATCTGAAACAAAATGTTCAAAAGTATCAGGTTAACTATTGAATTTTCCTGCTCTCATTTCTTTACTTAAACTGAAAAAGTTATTTACAAGATTTGACCTAGTCACCAAGAGACAAAGGTAATAAGAAAGGAGAACAGAATAGTTTGCAATCTTTTAATCTGGTCCTCATTTAAAGAATTTGTATCTAATAATTCTTTGTATGGAAACAACTCTAAAGCAGTTTACAAGAAATAGTTCCCTAAACTGGCATGGTATGGTCAGATACATAGGAATAAATCTACCTACCTGAGATGCTACCTTTCAGGGGTGGACAGTCCTAGCAGTAAGGCCAGGAACAATGATACTTCTGTTGGAATCTCTATCGCTAACTGCTGGTCATATGAAAAACACCAAAAATCAGTTCCCTTCCCATGGTCAAGGCACAATGAATCAAAGAGCACTGGCTGCCACAGCTAACTTGTATTTCCCAAATGAGAAGGTACAAGGAGAAAATAAGAGGCAACACCCAATTTGATAAATTTGCTGTAACACAGCAAATGGAATATCTGTTTGTTTTTATTCTTCAGATTCACCCTGCTTCCTTTATCACCGTGTATCATCAAGGGACAGCAATAATGACATACAGGCCAAGGCTGAGAACCACTCCTAATATGTTATGACAAAGACCAGTATGTGCTACACACCTGCATTTACTGATATGCAGTCACCTTGTAACTCAACTTCATGCCTAAACGTGTTTTACAAGTTTGGAGTCACAGCTTTTTCTATTAGTAAATTAACGAAATACAATTGTCTTGGAAAAAAAAAAAATCCATCCTACTTTACAAATGTTTCTTATAACTGCCAACTGCCTAATCAAGAAAGCAGGTAATCCCAGGTATTTGTAATTAGAAGGTGTGGAAAGATACACACACACACACACACACACACACACACAGTAAGTTGTTTTAACAAGTAGCTGAATAAACACAAAACTTTCTTTGGAGCTTATCCACTTTTTTTTTTTTTTTTTTAGCAATGACAAAGTTAGTTATGTCTCTTTCAATCTTTGTATTGTCGCCCATAATACCTACAGATTAATAACAAACCCTTTTCTAGTAATAAATAGCATAGCAATAATTAAAGAACACACAAAAGCATCAAGGATCAAATGACTACTAAAAAATTTCCAACTTACTCAGAATACCTTTTTGAAAATCCATTTATTGTAGGAAGTGGAATAGAAAGAGGGAAAAGGAGAAAAGGCTGGGGTTTGGGTCAAATACTTACGCTGACTTTGGGCTGAGAAGGCAAAGTCCCACTTGCCTTCATGGTGTTCACTAGCTTGTTGAATGCAGTCATATCTCCATCTTTTTTGAGCTGTCGATTGCTGGTTACAGCACTCAGGGTCTCTTCTAAGTGTTCTGCCATGAAGGGAGTTGAATTCTTCAGTTGCTGATCCACCTTCAAGCCCTTGAGCCCTGCTTCTACCTCTTCCACTGAAAGCACAACCCCTGAATGTGCTGAAAAGTTGAGAAAGTTCAGGTTAAGCCAAGCAAAGGAATATGTGGTAGGAATTCTCTTTGGCTACCATGATGGTTAAGGTGAAAATAAAAGAGGCTGACACCAAAAACAGATTGAAGACACTTAAAATCATTGTTGCTCAGTGGAAATAAGGCTATAATTGAGTACTTAGTAAGAGATAATATAAACTAAACCTAAAATGCTTTAGTGCTAGAAACTGGGGGACTATAACCATGGGGTGCTTAGGTTTTAAGACTATACAAGATCCTGTTGTGCATTCTGTAGGAGGGCCTCTATGATGAGTCTTCTGGAGACTTGTTACTAGGGACAGGAATCCCAGATAGCCCATTAGCAAGATTGCTACCAGCACTATGGTTATTATATTGCTAAGGTTTTATGTTGAAGGCTTATAACCTAAGCAAGGAAATGACAGATTGGGGCAAAGATGTGAGGAGCTGTCAAACTGAGCTCTGGAGGACAACATTTATGAGAGTGTTATAAATGGGCTCCACGTAAGGAAGACTTGGTGGAAGAGTTATTATAGGGCCCAGGACCCATGTACTAACAGGTTCGCAAAGAGGTGGTACTATTTGATAAAAATTTTTTTGAAGAATGTTAAGGAAAACCCACCATATATTTGACTTTTGATGAAATAGCAAGCAGTATGTTAGAATTAGCTGCTTGAAGACTGAGCATTTAAGCTTTTTCAGATACCTAAAGCAGACTAAAAAACACTTACAGCTCTCTTTAAGTTTTTCTTTATTTGCAGAAAGACTGGAAAGAAGAGGTTTTAAATCCACTTTAGCTTTCTGTAGCATTTCTAAAATATCCACTTTATTTTCAGCATGGTCTTCCAATGGTATAGGAGCAAAATAATTCCCAGAATTCTGTCCAGGAGAGAGGATGGCTTGCTCCAGACCTAATATTGCAAGTAAATATAGTCACGATTAACTGGTCCCAATAAAGCACAGAAACATATCTTTAATAGTATTAACAGGACACAAATTGAAGGTTTTTTTTCAGTATCCAGGGACCCTTTAACTCTAATGGACCCGACTAATGAAGATAATGAACAATGTCAGAGAAAGCTCAAGTCTATGTCCAAGGCCAGAATCGGAAACCATTTTACCTGCAAGTCTCTCCAGTTCTTCATGTGGTGTTGACCCAAGACTGCTGGATCTGCTTCCTGATCGGCTTGGGTTAGAGAACCACCTACTGAATCTGCTGGCAGAGACTGACCCTTCTCCCAAAACATCTTCTATCATCTAAAAGGAAAGGTAAAAGGAACTAAGACAATAGTTTCTAGATGAAAGGGATAAGAAGTTTCCAATTTTAAGAAAGGGTCACTTACTTTGATACTTCCTTTGAAGCGGCTGACCTGAAGGTAAACACTTTCAGAACTTAGGATTTTGAACATCATTCTTTTTTCTTCCCCTCCTGGGTCATTTCTGAGTAACCCAAACTTGAGCATAACCAACCATGTATTTTCTAAGCATATAAAACAAAATTTCTGTGCCACAGAAAGTGTTCTGGTTCTCTATCCTTTGCCTTGTTAGAAAATCCAGACTACTGAATGTTCTTGGAGGACACACAGTTTCAAAATCAAAATCAGCACCAGGAGTAAAGCATTCCATTGCCAAGCTGATGAGTGGCTTTCAACTAAATATAAGGTATGGACTTCTTGTAAGAAAAGCCTTGCTTCAAACATTCTCATGGTTGTAATGAACATCATAAAATTCAGTGCTGATAATTTCAGAAGCCAGAAGCTAAAAAAGTAGAGCTCATATATCACAATTCCAAGTCAAAGTTTAGAAAGTATCAGAATGTGAAAGATGAACTTTTAACTGAGATCTAATATGTTTGAACTTAATGAGGAGTTTTCAGGTATCCAACTTCCATGGTTTTTGGCTTAATAATGAGGCCAACTAAATGATGATGCACTATGATCACAAATAATATCTTTAACACTATTTCATAATAGTAATTTCTACTACTAATCCTTCTTATAAACTAGATTTAAGCATTTTTTTAAAATAAAATTTTCAATTCTGCTCTACCATAAATCAAGTTAAATATCCAAATTGATTTTTATGCAGTATAATATTCTTATCAATATTTAGAAAAGATAAAGCAAATGTCAATCCAAAAATAAGGCACATCCTTGAAAATAAGGCATAAACCTTTACTTCTATACCAATAATAAACAGAAAACACATTTCCCCCCAAAACTGGTACATGGATGGCAGAGTTTGTGACTATTTTATCTGAAGTTTAAAGCCCACAGTTGCCAAAGTTTGGCAGTGGAAGGTAGGATTTATTCCTTTACTTTTATCTGGAAGCACTTTCTCATAACATATACCCAAACTAAGCCACAAAACACTTCTTTCACATAAGAAAAGGGACTTTAAGACACTAATTTGATCATTATTTGTGGTACTTCTATTTTCTGAGGAATTGTTCAGATGGTTTGAATCACATTCCACTTGTAGACTCTCATCCCTTAAATAATGCTGATTTTTTTTTTTTTTTGGTACATGCCCCTAGTGGGAACCGAACCTGGGACTCTCTGGTCCATAGGCCGACGCTCCAACCGCTGAGACAAACTGGCTAGGGCAATAATGCTGATTTTTAAGTGCACTTACAATAATTACAGTATAAAAGCAGCATTCTGAGTGATGTGGCACTGTAAAAAATTAGGAATTGTACCCAAGATACAATCACCTTAATGAAACATAGGAATTATTTTAAAACTAAAAGCTGCAGCTATTAAAAATATTTTAATGTTGAAAAGAGTTTGACATTTTACAAATAGCAAAAGTGGCTTTGCATTTCAATCCTTGTATTTCCCTGTATAGGGAAAAAGAAGATACACAGAAGGAACGTAAAAAAGAAAAGGACTTGAATATAAAGTGTCTGGACATTTTCTAAAGATACGACAGTTAAGTGTTGAGAGCATTTCCGTATTTTGATCAGCTACCAACTTTGTTTTGCTTAGAGAAGCTAAATTTTATTATATCCAAAACATAAGTAGAAACAAAGTTACTTTCATACACATTTACTGGAAATGCCAATTACAAGAATCTAAAGCAATTTTTTCTTTTAAATTTTATTGACTTTTTTTTTGAGAGAGGGAGAAGGAGAGAGAGAAACATCAATTGGCTGCCTCTTGCATGCCCCATATTGGGGATTAAGCCCACAACCCAGGCATGTGCCCTGACTGGGTATTGATCCAGGGGCCTCTTGGTGTATAGGTCAATGCTCAACCACTGAGCCACACCAGCTGGGCCGAAACGGAAGCATTTTAAACCTGAGAAGAATCCTTAAGAGTTTACCTAGTCAGTCATTTTTATCACAGAGCAAGATGGGATGCTTAACAGTAGTGCCTCCTCCACAGCACCCTGGCACAGGGAATGGAGACCTGGACCGATAACTCTGAATTTGTTGCAGACATCTTCTGCTATATTGTCAGCCATGAACTGGTTGAGAAGACTGAACTGTATTTTGATGTTTCAGCTGCTCTTTCTAGACTAGATCACAATTTTTTTCTTTATTGATTTTAGAAAAAGAGGAAGGGGCGGGGAGAGAGAGAGAGAAAGAAAAAGAAACATCAATTGGCTGCCTCCTGCATGCTCCCCACTGGGGATTGGGCCCACAACCTGGGCACGTGCCCTAACTGGGAATTGAACTGGCGACCTCTTGGTGCATGCATTGACGCTCAATCACTGAGCTACACTGGCTGGGCTGGACTAGATTTTTAATAACATCTTTAAGGTAACTTATTATTCTGGTTCCTCAAACAAATGTCACTTAGATAAGTCATATCCTAAAATTCATATTATTTTGATTATCAAACAGATTTTGTGAAATATTTTTGCTCTTCGACATTATTAGGTTTTATTGACCAATGCTTTTCTTACTTTACACGTGTACAGAAATTTCTACATTTTTGTATTTGTTTCACGGTAGTCTGATTTTTGGGGGGATTTCTAATGAATGCATTTAAAGCTATACATTTTCTTCTCAGCATACTTTTGAATATACCACCAAGAGTTTTCTATGTCATGTTCCTGTTCATCATTCTAAATAGTGTAGGATTATTGTTTTGATTTCCTTTTTTCTTCAGTTAACATACGTAAGCACCCATTATGTGTTAGGCATTGTGGTAAGAGTTGCATCATATCTAAAATAAACTTATTTTAAATTATTTAACTAGAATTATTTGCACGTGATCCAAACGTTCAGTTTGTGTTTGTTTATGGCTGTCAATTTCTAATGTATTGCAATGCCAGTAAATATAGCCTACAAATACAGATATAATTCTGTTTATACTTATTAATACTCAACATCTATGGAGCTTACTAAGTGCCAGGTACTATTTCATGTACTTTATGTAACATTTGTTAAATGATATTCAATTCCTGTATAACCCTTCTTACTTATTTTTCCCAAATGACTAGTCATTTTCTGAGCACTCTATCAGAGTCCAGCTGGGTTATATAGCACAGTCAGAACCTTAGTTTTTACTGATCCCAGTTTTACTTTTAAATGAATCTTTTATAGTCTACATACCTTAATGAGCAGTACCTCCATGGAAAACATGGAGTACCTACCCTACTGTTCAGAATTAGCAGTTTTGGTTCAGGGTGAGGGCCAACAGATAAGATGGTGCTGAGTTCTTATTCCTCCCTTTCATGCTTTAGAGACAGTATAATTATGAGGAATTTAAAGCAAAGACTATAACTGAAACTGCATAATTTAGAATTCCATTTACACCACTTCTGTGACTGGGCAAGATATCTAAACTTCTCTGTGCCTGTTTCCACATCTATACAATGGAAACAGTAGTAAGCTAATTTATAATGGTTTTGTGAGGATTAAATAACTCACTGTATGTAAAGCCTGAAACAGCACTATGTACATTATTTACCTATTATTAAAGGTTTAGTTTTGAATTCTTCTTCTGCCTTAGCACACAGATAAGTTTTATAGATGCTCACATTTGGAGCCAAGTACAGGCCTCTAAATCTTGACCTTTTGCTATGAAACTTTTTACAATAACATTTTCATGTCATCTTAAAGAATGAAAACAACAAAACAAAAAACAAGTCACATTAAGCTCACATCTGGATGCAACGCTTCTGCTATAATGAGCCAAAGGACTATTGGCTACCTAGTAAGGTATCTGGCTAGGAAACTTATCATTAAAATTGCTGCTATAACTTAAGAATAAAACCACATAGTTACCAGTTGATGTGGAGCTACGCTCCTCATGGTCCTGAACAGTGCTATAGATAAGTGTGGTCTTGGACTATACTGGTCCACATACAGATAAGTTTGGAGAATGAGAGTAAATGCTTAGAAGCTTTTATAGCAGTTTGTCATTGCGGTGACATTTGTACTTTGTATTAAAGTACTGGCTCTCAACGGACTGGAAATAAAACCAGAAAATTTAAGAAGTACTGCCCTAGAACTCATCTGTAGCCCTATACCTAACAGGCTATGCAATGTCTGTTAACCTATTCTGGAAGGCCATCTTTTGGGGTTTGGGGGATTGGGTGGAGCAGACAAAGACAAAAACCAATGTTGGCAACTCTGTTGTGCCCAGTTTTGTCTGCTAATACACTAATCAAACAAGGAGCAGTTATAATAATTAAGCAATAGAGTCATTTAAGTTAAATTCCATGAACCATCAATTCTAAAAGACTGTATTTGCTATATTTGGTGTTGCAAATGGACATTTAGAATGCACAGATGCTTTTGGTCAAATGATTTTTAAATTCTATTTTACCAGAGTTCTAGACGCTATTTTAGCAACCACAGAAAAACTCATTTCTGTGTATGTAGCCCATAGTTATATATTTTCTTAAAAAATTTGATGAGGCTATACTAATCCTTAAATGGCTGAAGGGATAGGAGCAAGGTTAGATATAAGATGAAGATTTGGGATGTCTGTTTCTACTTTAAAAGTCAAGAAATACTAGACCTTAACTGTTTAACAGAAACAATGATAGCATCCCAAATTCTTTTTCACTAAAGCTTTTCAGAACCATCACATCACAAAGGTACTAATTAAATAGCCAGCCTTACCCAAGGAATGCAGATCAGTGTGATATTAATCTTACCACTTACAAAAATCCACCTTCACAATAAGTCTTTACAACAAATACTGAACTATTTAAAAATAAAAGCAGACAGGACTTACTGTAGGGACCTGTGGTCAAGATGGCAGTGTAAATAAAAATGTGGTACTCAAATCCTCCCACAACCACCTCAAAATACAACTAATCTTCAGAACAACCATCATTAAGAATTGCCTGATATTGCCCTGGCCGGTTTGGCTCAGCAGTTAGAGCGTTGGCCCGCGGACTGGGGAGTCCCGGGTTTGATTCCCACTAGGGGTACGTATCTCGATTGCAGTTTGTCCCCGGCCCCAGTTGAGGTTGTGCAGGTGGCAACCAATCGATGTGTCTCTCTCACATTGATATTTCTCTCTTCTTCCCTCTCTCTCGCCTGCTCTATCTGAACTTAAATGCAAAAAAAAAGGCCTGAAATCTAGCTGAATGAAAGTCCTACAAGTAGGGAATTAAAGAAGCCACATTGAGATTGGTAGGAAGGGTGGAGGAGTATCTCGGTTTGGAGGTCACTGCCCCCATCAGACCCCTCAGCCCAG